AATTTTATATATTCAAACGTGTCAAACCAATTTCCCGTCCTCAAACCAATTTGTTTTTTTTGGGATTCCAGTAAGTAAGAATAAGCTTCATAAAATTATATATAATTTATATTATAAATTAAATTAATTTTATTTTAATATAGATTTAATATGGCAATTAATGATCTACGTTTTTATTCAAATATTTCTATTGAGCCAATAGTTTTAATTACAAACAATGCTTTAGAACAAACGCTTGAGTGTAAAACTTGTAGAATAAGATATAAGACAAAAAGAGGTCTTAGTTATCACCAAAGTATTGTACGAAAGTATAATATTCGTCGTGATGGATTATGTGTACTACCAATTGAAGCAGTTAATCAATTTAAGAAAGATCTGATTTATATTATAGGCAGTAAGCTTAAAGCGCATTTTTCACAATTAGGAAAACAAACACTTTCATTTCCCTGTCTAGAAAGTTTATTTTTTGGAATTTTTAAAGGGTATATTCATTATTTTAATCGAAAAAATAATAGCTACAAGTGCTTTTTTCATAGACCAGACACTTACATGCAATTAGCTAGTATATTTGATAATCAGAGTTGGGAATGTAAATTCTTTGAAAATGATTAACAAATATTGGTCTTATTATTCGATGCACAAGGTGAGAAAAAAAATAACTGTAAGAAAAAATTTGGATTTCCAAAACTGACAGTTGAATAGAAAACAAAATATAAGAAGGATGCAAAAAATAATGAAACCTCCACTAGATTCATGTATTTAAACTTTTATACATTACAGATTTAGAACTATATACTGGTTATGAAAAATCAAATAAAATAATGTATAGGTTTGAATGAGTTTTTTTTTATTTATTTCATTTTATTTTTATTTTTTTTGTTAATATTGGTTGCGAATATTGATGCTCGAACATCTACTGTTGCTTGTATAAAAAATGAAGACCTCCGAATAGACTGATATTATCAGTAATTCTCCCTCCTCATATAGTTTTAAACCAAATATTACCACAAATGGCTGAGCCATTTTCGACAGTCATCGGCAAGATGCGTGCAGCTGAAATTGCTTCATAGATTGATAAAAAATCTGATTTATATTCTGTAACAAACAATCCATATGAATTTAAACTACTTTTTCATAGAGCCGGAAATGGTTTTACTCTTGCTACATTTTGGGATTTATGTAATAATCAAACAAATGTTGTTGTAGTTGTGAAGGTTAAAGACACTGATGAAATTCTTGATGGATACAATCCTATTGGAGGGGACAAGCCGATTAATGAAGAAGATACGTATAAGGATTGTGAAGGTTGCTTTATTTTTTATAGTAGTATTCAAAATTTCATTTTAAGTTATGTGAAAGATCAAGATATGCAAGTTTTTTGTGCTTATATTCCAGATTTAAGGTATGGTTAAATAATACGTTGAAACCAATTTTTAAATAAAGATTTTAAATCATATAATAATGTAACAAACAATCTATATGAATTTAAATTACTTTTTTATAGAACCGGAAATGGTTTTACTTTTGCTTTATTTTGGGATTTATATAATAATCAAATGATTTTGTTGTAGCTGCGAAAGTTAAAGACACTGACGAAATTCTTGATGGATACAATCCTATCGGATGGGACAAGCCGATTAATGAAGAAGATACATATAAGGATTGTGAAGGGTGCTTTATTTTTTTATGGTAGTATTCAAAATTCTATTTTAAGTCATATGAAAGATCCAAGATATGCAAGTTTTTTGTGCTTATATTCCGGATTCAAGGTATGGTTAAATAATATGTTGAAACCAATTGTTAAGTAACAATTTTAAATCATATGATAATGTAACAAACAATCCATATGAATTTAAATTACTTTTTTATAGAACCGGAGATAGTTTTACTCTTGCTTCATTTTGGGATTTATGTAATAATCAAACGAATATTGTAGTTGCGAAGGTTAAAGATACTGACGAAATTCTTGATGGATACAATCCTATTGGATGGGACAAGCCATTAATGATGAAGATACATATAAGGATTGTGAAGGGTGCTTTATTTTTTCTATGGTAGTATTCAAAATTCCATTTTAAGTCGTGTAAAAGATCCAAGATATGCAAGCTTTGTGTGCTTATATTTCAGATTCAAGGTATGGTTAAATATATGTTAAAACCAATTTTTAAGTAACGATTTTAAATCATATAATAATGTAACAAACAATCCATATGACTTTAAATTACTTTTTCATAGAACTGAAAATAGTTTTACTCTTGCTTTATTTTGGGATTTATGTAATAATCAAACGAATATTGTTGTAGCTGCGAAAGTTAAAAACACTGATGAAATTCTTGATGGATACAATCCTATTGGATGGGACAAGCCATTAATGATGAAGATACTATAAGGATTGTGAAGGGTGCTTTATTTTTTTATGGTAGTATTCAAAATTCTATTTTAAGTCATGTGAAAGATCCAAGATATGCAAGTTTTTTATGCTTATATTCTGGATTCAAGGTATAGTTAAATAATACGTTGAAACAAATTGTTAAATAACGATTTTAAATCATATAATAATGTAACAAACAATCCATATGAATTTAAATTACTTATTCATAGAACCAGAAATAGTTTTACTCTTGCTTCATTTTGGGATTTATGTAATAATCAAACAAATGTTGTAATTGCGAAGATTAAAGACACTGATGAAATTCTTGATGGATACAATCCTATTGGATAGAACAAGCCATTAATGATGAAGATACATATAAGGATTGTGAAGGGTGCTTTATTTTTTCTATGGTAGTATTCCAAATTCCATTTTAAGTTGTGTGAAAGATCCAAGATATGCAAGCTTTGTGTGCTTATATTCCGGATTCAAAGTATGGTTAAATATACGTTGAAACTAATTTTTAAGTAACGATTTTAAATCATATAATAATGTAACAAACAATCCATATGACTTTAAATTACTTTTTCATAGAACCGGAAATGGTTTATTCTTGCTTCATTTTGGGATTTATATAATAATCAAACGAATGTTGTAGTTGCGAAGGTTAAAGACACTGATGAAATTCTTGATGGATACAATCCTATTGGAGGGGACAAGCCAATTAATGAAGAAGATACATATAAGGATTGTGAAGGTTGCTTTATTTTTTATGGTAGTATTCAAAATTTCATTTTAAGTCGAGTGAAAGATAAGATATGCAAGTTTTTTGTGCTTATATTCCGGATTCAAGGTATAGTTAAATAATATGTTGAAACCAAATTTTAAGTAACAATTTGAAATTATATGATAATAATTGAAATATATACTAATTTATAATTTATTTATAGAATATGTCTGCATTATAGAGGCAGCATTCGTTATAAGGCTCTTGAGAGTAAAAATTTCTTTATACTAAAATTGTATACACTTTAAATAGGTCAGGCTCAATTTTTATTTGGTGAAAAATAGGTTAGTTAGTCAAGAGTTTTTTATCAGAGTTGTTCGGTTGGCTAAAATTTAACATCTACATTTCATGATATAAATCTTCAGCAAAATTACTGTAATGATTACTTAGGTAATATTATAAATTTTAATTTCACCCCACCTGTATTCACTATTTCAACCTGTAAATAGCGAACGAAATATTGTACAAAATTAGAATAAATTAATTTATGGCATCAAGATAGGAATGACTTAGAGTTGTGATTATATTGATAAATTAGATGGACAGAAGTCTGTTTTAAATTTGTTCCAGGTTCAAATTGTGAATGCGCATTAAATATTGTATACTCAAAGTTAGTAATACAAGCTTTCTAATCGCTCCAAAAAGTATTTTTTATTTAAAAAAAGTTATAATTTTTATTTCAAAAAAATTTTTTTTAAACCATATACTGTAAAAAAAAAATTATAATTAAAATTAAGGCCGGGTTTTTGGCCAGATCACATTTCAAATTTTTAAAGATTTACTTTATAACACTATTACCATGTTAATTGATCAGTAATTATTTAACAATTTAATGATTTGTTTAGAAATTTATTATCAGACTTAATCATTTATAAAATGTTATGAAGTTTTCACTTTTTTGTTAATATGAATATATTGAGGTTTAGATGTTAAATCGACAGTAGATTTATGGGCATAATATAATATCTGATTTTCGTAATTGAGAATTTCGAGAATGGCAGAGATTTTCTTTCTGTGCCTTTACCTCCATCTCTCATTGACTTTTTGTAAAAAAGAGAAACCTGGTCGTAATTTTTTTTCTCTACTGCCGTGCAGGAAAACGCAGCCAAACCAACATTCTGATAATGCACCATAAATTCTGATACATGGTGTATCAGAACGTATATATACGGCATAAAATCTTTGGGGCGGTAGAGACCTTTTTTAAAGGATCTAGTATTTGGTATGCCTTGATATGGTGTGAGAAACAAATTGAGCCATTCTTTTGCTTTAATTGTGAAAAGAGTAGGGTCTGCATTTGGTTCTTTCATAAGTCTGTAAAGGGAATAAAAATTCCTCCACAAACGATTAATCAATATCGCCCGTTCTTCATCGAAAATGACTTCAAAATTGAAATCACGCAATATCTTTTCTTTATCACCTCCCATTAAAGGCGTATATATCCAATTTTGTGTATTATAGTTTTGCCAAAAGTGAAATCCGACGGAAATCCTTTTCATTTCTAAACTAATTACCATTCTTATGTAATCATCATATCTATTTTCAGACTTTATTTTCTGAATTGCCAACTCCCAAAGACGATCTCATATTCTCAACATAATATGTAACTCATCAGGCACATACCGGTCCAAACTGATCATGGGGAGGAGAGGGGTTTTGAGATGGCCTGGTGGTGGTGAATCTGATTTTAATGAATCCATACTTTTCTCAATTTTATATACATTATCCTTATTTCCAATATCTTTTTTGGTGCAGAGGCACCAAGGACAGAAATGGATCGAATTTGGGGCATTGAATCCTAATATGATAGCCAAGAATTTCTAGTCACTACTAAAGCAAAGTTCAACTCTCTATTTTATACCATTCGAGTCCACTAATCTATTCGCCATCAAATTATTTAGTTCGACTATAAGAGGATCTATTACTATTTTTAGAATTTCATAATTTTCTATTCTCGGGTATAGAATTAATGTGTAATGAAAATCTGCTTTGTGGATGTTCAATATATCATCTATATTGTAAATGTTATCATCACGTGCTTAATTGTTCTACCGACATTATGCCCATCACCCGAAATTCGAATATTAATGACAAGATCATTTGTATTAAGAATGTTTCGGTCTACAAGACTTGGAATTATAAATATGAGGATATCAGTAATGCGTCTATAGCATGCTTTACCAATATATTTTAAAACCTCTCCGATTTCTTGGTCATTAGTATCTATAAGTATATAAATATAAGTAGAAACGAAGCCATTAAAATTAGTGAAATTAAAGTTTGATAATAAAAAATAAAATAAAATATATAAAATAAAGTAAAATAAAATAAAATAAAAATAAAATAAATAAAATAAAAATAAAAATAAGATGAAATAAAATAAAATAAAACTATAGAAAACATGGTCATTCCAATACAAAACTAACATATCCATATCTAAATCACTTGCATCACCACAATAGTCGATAAGAATTTTTTACAGTAAATTAGTATAGAAATCATGGTCATTCCAATACAAAAATAAAATAAAATAAAATAAAATAAATAAAAAATTAGGATCTTTGTTAACAAATAACTTCATTTGTAGTAAAGATCCTACTTTTATCCTACCTAGATCAACATCAGAAGTTTCAAGAGACATATTTTTAATATTTAGGGTAAAAATAGGTATTTGGGTGCTCATTTCTTGGTTAATATCTTTTTCGGTATCTGAAATTTCATATGCTCGTGATAATTCATGCTGAATTGCAGCTAGTTTACGATAAGCATGATGAGATATCAGTCCTTGGTCGATAACTTCCATAAATGGGACAAGAGATCTATCACTATTTTCTTTATCGTTACTATAGTCAATTACATAATTTTTGTCTTGAACGTTGAATTTAATTTCATGTAAGGTTGGTTGGCAAGTAAATTAAAAAATTTTGGAACTTTGCTATCAAAAGTTTTGCCTAGATGTATAAAAAATGCGCGAGATCTTTTGGTTTTCATAGATTCACTTAGTGAATTAAATGGTTTAAGAGAAAGAGGTGGTTTTTTTTTTCTATCATGTTCCTGTTCCACATCCATGGCATTGAGACCAAATACGTGGATTCCAGAAATTGTTACACAGGTATTAGGCCATTTTTTCTATATAAAATATACAATTTTTTTTTTTTTAATTTTTATTACATAAAAATTTCATTTGATTTTATTTTAATTTTATTTATCTAGTTATTTGCACA